CCCCCCACACACTCCCCCCCCTCCCGATGTTTTCCGGTTGGGTTTTCGTCGATTGGCAACGACGTTGTAAAACAAGCCAATTCACTGAACTCGGCAACCAGGTTACCGTTTTGTTGTTTACCTCTGTTTTTTTTTGGCGGTAACCACAATGGTGGTCGAGTAGATCATGTTGTGCGGGGTGGAGAACCCTCACTCCGCGCAAGGGGGATGATCGCTCCACGTTGTGTTATAATGGTAAAGCATTCTCGAGGCAGTTACACAGTGCTAACAACCGTCTCTTGAAGTGAAAGTACCAGAAAATATATTAAGTCGTACGCAGCTGTCATCCGTATTCAAGGAAGTAAACACAAGATGCCGAACACCCTTAGCAGGATGCAGCTCACCCTTCATGCGTCTTGCCGAATACCTCACGGCGCTTCGCGCTTGGTGATGTGAGAGCCTGGTCCGGTGAGAACCTGGCGTGCTCCGTCCCGGCTTTGTAGGGATGGGAGGTCAATGGTCTAACGGCTACGGCATGCACGACTATGAGTACACCCCCCCACACACACACACGCACATTACGAATGTCAGTGCCTCGGGGTTAGATACCAACCGCGTACCCCCCCTCAGCGCAACGCCGTGCCAGAGGAGGAGGACTCGAAGGAAGGGCTGTTGCAAGAGGAGGGAGGGCACGTCGAGGAAGAGCACCCCCGCCGCCTAAAACAGTCTCGCTCAAGCGAAGATGGGTCGGGCGGAGGCGGCAGTAGCAGCAGCGGCGGCGGCGGCAGCGGCAGTGGCAGCGGCAGCGGTGTTGGTGGGCCCGGCTCGGGCTCACGGAGACGCAGCAGCGGTTTCGTCAACATCTCGACTCAGGTATGTGAGACTGTGGACCCGTTCGAGGTGTACAACCACACCAATCGATGGAGGTGTACTCATTGTCGTGCATGCCGTAGTCGGTAGACCATTGACCTCGCATCCCTACAAAGCCGGGACGGAGCACGACGGGTTCTCACCGGACCTGGCTCTCACATCGCCAAGCGCGAAGCGCCGTGATGTATTCGGCGAGTCGCGTGGAGTGTGCGCTGCATCCTGCTAAGGGTCTTCGCCATTCTGTACTTTTTATCTTCTGGTGCTTTCCCTTCCAGACACAGTTATGAGCACCGTGCAACTGCTTCGACCAATCGTCGGGGGGGTCCCTGATTTCTTCGCAGTGGGTGGGAGAAGAAACGGCTGTATACTGGGCTTGTTTGGGGTCTAATTAAGCCTGTACACTGATCCGGTCGCCCTGGTGGTCTAGTGAGTACGAATCCCCATGGGGTGAAAAATTAAAAAAAATTGCGGGTGAATGCGAAATATAGCTGAAAAGCGTTCGTGAGTATGAAACTTCGACGCCAGCACCGTTAACGAGGGAAAGGGACGGCTAGGCTCTACTCGCGATAATTATAAAAGTTTAGCACGCACCGCAGGAGGAAGGTGGGGCATGAAAATAAATAAAAAGAAGAAATATGCCCTGGTGTTTACACCTTACTGTATGACCCTGGATGGTTGTAGTTGTACGAAAAAATCCACTGAAAAATGTAGTACTCGACATAGGCTGAAAAAGTGTAGTACACGTCTCACCACGAAAAATGGGGAACTGTCGCCGTAATAAATAGGACGAAAACACATACACACACTGCATTCTTTTTTGTATATTCCTCTACTGGGGCCGCAGAACAGAGACGTAGACATTGCCGAGGGGCTATACGTAGGCCCGTAACCCGCCTGGGCGGAAGAAATATGGCCACGTGTCGATAACGAAGGGAGCGAGAGTGATGACGGCGGGGACCTGCTCCGTGTCTAAGCATGGTTCTGGTACTTGCGGAACATCTTCGGCAAATGCCCGAGCAGTAGACTATGCATTGAGTATTTGCAACATCAGAGAGAGCAGCAGCGGTAGCAGCCTCGGGTAGATTGATCCCCCCCCCATGCAACNCTGCAAATTGACGCGGCGAAGAAGTTTACTGATAAGTGGAGATTGTCTGCCAACGTTAAGAAGAGTGCCGTCATGGTATGCAACGAGAACAAGGAGGAACCAGTTGAACATAGATGGAAGTGGGGGATCGAGGAGATTGCAGTAGCGGACCAGCACATACCTCGGAGTAGAGATCGCAAAAGACTGCTCGTGGAATGCACACATGTCCAAGGTAGCGGAAAAGGGCAAAGCACGAGCAGGGAAGCTGCACCCAATACTCGCATACCGGCACCTCGATACACGCATCAAATTTCAAATTGACGGTTTTGAAGAGCGTAGTCGTACCGCCGCTAGAGTACGCCGGAGAAGTATGGGAAGGAAATAAGAAGGTAGTGAAAGAACTCGAGGCGGCGCAGATGAAAGCAGCGAAAACCATCCTAGGATGCTCCAAGCGCACAAGTAATGCAGCCGTCAGGGCAGAATTGGGGATCCGATCCCTACGGTCGGGAAGAGACGCGAGGAAGCTGACATGGCAGTATCGCATGTGCGGGATGGGAGAGGAGCTGTTGCCGAGAATTGTATGGGAGGCGAAGTAGGCAAACAGAAAGGGGGGTAGACAACCCACGGAATGGGTCAAGGTTGTAGAGGACGTATGGAAGGGGCTCGACATCGACGAAGATGAAACGCTGGAAACGGAGGGTCTACAGGGGTTCAAGGAGAAGATATCTGTTGCTTGTGCCGAGAGAGAAGAACAGAATCTGAGGAAAGAATCCAAGGATAAGGAGGGTCTAGAAGTGTACGGAATGTTGAAGGAAGGAATAGGGTTCAAGGACTACCTACATGGACCAATGGATGCAGGAACAAAGCTTAAGGTCAAATTCAGGACCGGGGACATAGGCCTTCGAGAACGTCGACGAAGACATAGGACGGTAGACGAGGAAGACGACGAGTTCAAATGTGATTGCGGCTTCGAATGCGAAGACCGTGTTCATGTAGTCGCGGAATGTTCGTTGCACAAGAAGGAGAGGGAAGTGTACGTGACAGAGCAGGGAAAAATAGATAGGATGTACAGGGAACGACGGTGGATGTATAGGAAACGACGGTAGCTGTACTGGGGCGTCGGAGGTGGGTTGAAAAGGCGGGAAG